GAACTCACGACCTTGCGCTTGCCAGGCAGGCGCTTTTGCCGCTGAGCTAAATCCCCAGCCCCTGCTTTTTGGGTTTTGAGGCAGCATTTCACTGCAGTTCAAGCTGGCCTTGAACTCACTATGGAGCCCAGGCTGGCCTCGAACTTGTGGCAGTCCTCCTGTGTCAGCCTCCCAAGTGCTGGCATTACATCCATGCCCCACCACACCTGGCTATACTATAGACTTGAACCAGATCCTCTTAAATTATTTTCATTTATAGTGTTAGAAAAAGGCAAGCAAGAGAAAATGAAGTCTTACCTTTATTCTGCCTGATAAGGAGGACATTACTGATGAACCCAGTACATTTAGATTCAGCTTTGTTTACATATGAATCCTGACAAAATTAAGATGAACAAGAAAAACTGGAAAGGAAAAACCAGTGTTTTTTTTTTTTTTGGTCTTTTTAAGACAAGGTTTTGCTATGCAGTTCAGGCTGGCCTTCAACACATTCTGTAGCCCAGGCTGGCCTTGAACTCACAGTGATCCTCCTGCCTCAGCCTCCTGCCCCAGCCTCCCTCAGTGCTGGGATGATAGATGTGTACCACCACACCCAGCTGTCATAACTTTTCAACGCGAACGCTTTGTCTACATTTTGTATATGTATGCGTGTGTGAAGTCATTGTGTATGCATTACCAGTTTTCTTCATTTCAGAAAACATGTGTTTTATTATCCCCAACATGACATTGAAAGTCAAGAGGCTTGACTTGTTAGCAGCTCTCAGCTGCAGGCAAACCTCACACTGTTCCTGTATGTTATAAGTTGGAGTGGTCTTCTGTTCCAGTTCTTTTGCAGTTTTGTCTATATACTTTCAGCCTTTTTCCTACCTGGGATTAGACTAATACATTTTAATCTTCTATTTCAGTTACCGCCACCGTGTGACTCCGCCTGCACAGTACCAACAGATGGTAAGATCCACAGTAGCATAAAGTTACGTTAAAAATACGTAATGCAAGCAAAATTTTATACATTTAATTGACAATTATGTATTTATGGGTAGAGTGGGGTGTTTTGATAATGTTTATAATGTAAAATGATGAAATCAGGCTAATTATCAAATCTAGCCTCACATACTTTTTTTGTGGTGAAAATTATAGTTCTGGCCATTTTGAAATATACAGTGGGGCTGGGGGTGTCACTCATTGGTAGAGCTCACATTCAAGGCCCTACGTTCAATCCCCAGTCCAAGAAAGGAAGGAAGGGAGGGAGGGAGGGAGGGAGGGAGTATGCAACACTGTGCAGCAGATCTATAGAGCGCTTTCCTCCTGGCTGACTGCAGCTTGGTCCCATTTTGGTCAGCATGTTTCTCCTTTTCCTGTCCACCTGCCCTGACCCTCCAGCCCCTGACAACCACCATGTTTCTCTAGAATTTCACCTGTTTTAGGTCCCACATATAAGTGAGATCATGCAGTATTTGTCTTTCTGTGCCTGGTGTATTTCTCACGACGTAGCGTGCTCCAGGGCCATGCATATTGTGTGTGTGTTTTTAACATACACATACATGAGGGGGAAGGAGAGGGAAAGAGTGACAGAAGGAAAAGAAACATTTAAGAGTTCCTTGGCAATCTCTGTGTCTTAGGATAACTCTCTGGTTTGTTCTGCCGCTTAAAAAACAAATTTGAAGCTGGCTATGGTGGTGCACCCCTGTGATCCCAGCATTTGAGAGACCAAATCAGGAGGATTGCAAATTCAAGGCCAGCCTGGGCCACATAGTGAGTTAGAGGCTGACCTGAATTATACAGCAAGACCTTGTCTCAAACAAACAAACAAAAAGCCAACAGATTTGAAAATTCCATTATACTTTCAGCACCAAGAGTAAGGAAGTTCCAAACCAAGCATGGTGGACATGCCTGTAGCTGCAGGTACTCTGGAGGCTGAAGCAGAAGGCTCATGAGTTCAAGGCCAGCCTGGGCAATTTAGCAAGCCCCTCTCTCAAAATAAAAGTAATAGATCAAAAGGGCTAGGAATGTAGCTCAGTACTCTGCAGCATCAATTTCCAATACTGCATACCCCTCCAATACCAAAAAAGAGAAAGGAAGCCCAAACTGAAACTCCACAGTGTAACTTTCCATATATGTGTTTGAAAGTAATACCATAGCAGGATCCATTAAACCACGTACAGTACTCTGTGTTACATGTTGGATGTGATTTTGATTCTCAACAGGGATTGTCATTTAATTTCATTTTTTTTCTCTGAATACAGTGGATAAGTGGTTCCATCACCAGAAAAACTGATGAAACTTCTTTAGAAGACAAGCTGAAAGCTGGGCATGGTGGTACACACCTGTCATCCCGGCACTCAGGAGGCTGAGGCAGGAGGATTGCTGATAGTTTGAGGCCAGTCTGGGCTACATAGTGAGGGTAGCCTGAACTATACAGTGAGACCCTGTCTAAAAAAAAAAAAAACAAAACAAAACAAAACAAAAAAAACTGATATTGCTGCATCCTGTTCATCTGGAAGTATTAGATGTAAAAGTAGTAGCTCTCCAAAGCTCTAGACTTAGAGATCTCATCTGACTAAAGCCAGTTCTGCTGTGACCAGTCCAATATATTCAGAATGTTATCTGTCTAAAACCATTTTTCTTATCTCGGCGAAGGTAACTTTCAATAGTTCTTACTTAAGGATCTAAACACTTGTGATTTGGAAGTCATTTGTGAATAGATAGATGTGCAAGTGAACACATACTGGATGTATATGTTTACCATGTGTTAGAAAATAAAATTATTTTGCTGAAACTTGACTATGATATTTTATTCTGAGCCAACATTACCAAGAAGCCATGGGTAATTTTTGTTGTTTTCTATCAATGATCGTATAATTCTGTTTTAGAATTACAAGATAAAAAGTGCATGCTCATTTGGAGAAGTCCAGCAAAGAAATCCCTTATCCTTGTAGTACTTTTGTTTTTCGGTACTGGGAATGGAACCCAGGACCTCGTCCTTGCCAGGCAGGTGCTGTACCACTGAGCTCAATCCCCGGCCCCAGTACTGTTGATTATGTGCTCTATTACCTGATTCCTAGCATCCTGCTCAACAGCAAAAGCTTTTTAATTTCTGTCCTTCTAGGAGAAAGTACCTTCTTTGTTGAAGGCTAAAGTGATACTTACATGTCTATGTCTCTAATGAAGTACTTGGACCCTAAGTCATTTACGTTGTATTCTAAGTTATCAACCAGAACAGCTTTGGTGCTGGACAGACCTAAGTTTGCATCCTGGCCCATCTTTTTACTGGCTCCTGTTCATTATAATCTTAGGCAAGTTACCAGCCACGCAAACTCAGTTCCCTTGTTGTGAAAACAGACACTGTTATGTGATGCTTATTGTACACACTCAGATATTTTTCATTGAAGTTTTTGTTGGGGTGACATAGATGCACATGCGGTTGTCAGAAATAATACAGAAAAACTCCCTCTATATCTTGTCCAGTTTCCCAAAAAAATACCATTTTGTGACGCTCTGGTGGATCACATTTAAGACACTGAAGACACTGACATAACCCACAGTTCTCAGACTGCCCCATTTCACTTGTACTACTTTGTGGTCTGTTGTTCTGTGCCTGTAATTGCTTACGTGGTTTATGCATCCCACAAAGCAATGAATAGGGCTGGCGTTACCCGGATCCCTTATGCAGCAGCCCTGTTCTGTCCTGTGCTCCCCATACTGCAGTCCTCGACAGCTGGAAACCACTAATCTGGCTTCCATTTTTCTAGAATTTTGTCATTTCAAAAATGTTAGAGCCAAGCGTGGTGGCACACGCACACCTGTAATCCCACCACGTGGAAGGCTGAGACAGGAAGATCACCATGGATTCAAGGCCCAATTGAACTGCATAGTGAGACCCTGTCTCAAAAAAAGGATTGTTCTTGGTCCTGTGCCTTTGTATATACATTTTACAATAAATTTTGTCTGTTGTCTATGCCAGTAGCAAAACTTCACTGGGATTTTAATAGGCATTGTATTAAACCTATAGATTAATTTTAATCGTGTTCAGAGAACATTTTTGCTCAGGCTGCCATAACCATCTCACGTGCTGGGTGGAGCCAGTAATAGCTGTCAAGGAGAAGTTCTAGTATTTGGATAGAAAGTTTTCTGTGGACAAAAGCCAAGAAGAAACCTGATCTCAGGGCCACAGCCATTCTACAAATGGCGTTCTTGAGGTTTGGCTTAGTGCCAAGCACTGTCATTTAGATAACCAGGGATGAAGTGACAGACACGTGGTCGCTGGAATAGCCTGGACAGGTTCGGCTATGATCCTCAGTTCCCTAAGTCTAGTGCATTTCTGTTACTTGTTTCTGGTTTGATTCCTGAATGGTCAGGAAACTAATTTTGATTCTTTTAAATTTATCCAGGCTGTTCTACACTGTGTCCTGAGGTGCTGGAGGGATAGCTCAGGGGCAGGACACTTGCCAGCCAGCCCTGCTTTTGAGTCCTAGCACTATCAAAAAAAGTGTCTTGTTGATGAGTGTTCTGTGTTCTTATGTCCCTCAAGTCCTGCCCTGTAGGGAGACGGTGCCGTTTAAGTGCTCTATAGCGTTGCTGATTTTCTGGCAGTTCTGTGAGTTGTTGAAGAGCACGTGTAGAGGTCCCCAGTTATAGCTGGGTTTGTCTGCTTGGCTTTTCAGTTCTGTGAGTGTTTGTTTTGTGTATTTTGCACTCTGTTGTTTACTAAGTACACACTAGTACCCTATCTTGGGGGCGCTGGCCCTTCTCATCCCGTGGTGGCTCCTGGTCTCTAACTTTCTTTACTCAGGGCTGCTTTACTGGCTGTGGCTACAGCCACCTCTGCTTTTCTTAACTTTATGAGTATATGATGTATTTGTTCTATTCTTTCAACCTACCTACACTGTTGAACTTGAAGTTTCTTATAAGCAACATATAGTTGAAGCACATTTTTTAAATCCACCATGCCAGTATGTCTTAGTGTGTGTACCTTATTTACATTTCAGGTAACTTTTGAAGAATTGGCACTTCATCCTTTTTGGGGGTTTACTCATCTGTAGATTTGTATCTTTCATCACATTTGGGGATTTTTCAGCCATTTCCCCACATGCTTTCTGACCTTTTTCTCCTCTCTTCCTGGTACATACAATACATGAGTTCTTGTCACACCGATCTATCTCTAGGGTCTGGTTTTTCCCTCTTTTTCAGACTGGGTGAGTTCTTTTGTTGTGAAGTTCAGTGTTTCTATCTGTGTTCAAGCCTATGCATCAAATTTGTCATTTCCTTGTTTAAAAGGAAAGGGGAACTAGGCAGGAGGCAGGGGTAACGAAGAAAGGGAAGAGAAAAGAAGGATAAAATGGAAACAAAGCTTTGTAAATGAGGGGAAGAGGGGTTGAAGGGAGGGGAGGGGAATGGGGAAAAAATGAATCAAGATCTATCATATACATCAAGATCTATTGTGTACAAATTCCCTGTGATGAATGTGATCATAATATATATCTTAATTTTACCAATAAACAATAAAAATGTCTTTCATTTCCATTATTACAGTTTCCAGTTCTGTGATTTCCATTTAGTTCTTTTAAATAATTTCTGTTTCTTTGCTGAGAATTTCTAGTTTTTAATTTGCTTCAGGGGAATTTCTAGTTGAAAACGCAGTTTTAAAACAGTTGCCTTAAAAGATTCATCAAAGCCTTAGTGTCAGTTGACTGTCTCTCCTTATTCAAATTATGAATTTATTGGCTTTCTCTTATGATGCCTAATTGTCAATGGTATTGCAGGCATTTTGTCTATTTTGTTGAGACAGGGTCCACTATGTAATTCAGGCTGCCTAGAATTCACAGCGGTCCTCCTGCCTCAGCCTTCCTAGTGCTGGGATTACAGGTGAGCACCACCGTGCTGGCGGCATCTTGCATATTAGGTAGCAATATGAGGTGCCTTGCTGCTCTGCTTTTCTGATCTTGGGATCTCAAACTTAGCTGATGTCTTAATCACCCCTCAGAGATCTCCTGGTTGTCTCTTGCCATTTCCAGGGTTTCTAGTGTGTTTAGCATGGTCTCCACGCTAAGGAAAAAACAAGTCGATGCTACACTTCTCACCAGCATCCGGATTTTAATATTCCTTATTCTTTTGTGAGTACTTTTTTTTTTTGGAGACAGAGTCTTGCTATGTAGTCCAGGCGGGCCTCAAACTTGTGGCGATCTTTCTGCCTCAGCCTCTTCTGGGCTGGGATTTAGGCCCACCATGCCCCGGCTGCTCTTCTATTTTTAAACAGTGTGTCAGTCCTGATAATGGTTTTTGAAGTTTCTTTTTTCCTTTTTCTTTCTTTCTTTTTTCTTTTTCTTTTCTTCCTTCCTTCCTTCCTTCCTTTTTTTTTTTTTTTTTAAATAAAATCTCATTCTGTAGTTCAGGCTGGCCTCGAACTCGTGGCAATCCTCCTGCCTCAGCCTTCAGACTGCTGGGACTATAGGCATGTGCCACCACATCTAGCTTTCTAAAGTTACTTCTGTTAAGAAATGAGCTTTCTAATGAAGATTCTCCAATGAGGGAGGTGTTACACATGTGCCCACTACACAGGAATCGCCCACCTGCACTTGCGGGAAGGAAAGGGATGAGCTAGTACAGGAAGGAACATGAGTACTCCATTTCCTGTGCCGAGAGCTTTGCAGAAAGCTGTCACTCCCCTGGAGAGCAAAGAAAAATATCATCTCATGTTCGTTTGTTCAAGCCACCATAACTGCATCATGTATCGGGTGGAGCCTTAACAGCTGTCAAGGAGAAGCTCGGGACATTTGGACAGAGTTTTCTGTGGGCTAAAGCCAAGAAGCCTGCACTCCTAGGACCACAAGTGTTCTACACAGGTAGTGCCTGGCACTGTTTCGTGTAGATAACTGGGGGTGTAGTGACAGACATGGTCACTAGCAGCCTGGACAGATTCAGTTAGGCTCATCGATCCCCTAAGTCTTCCTCATGGCGTCGGCTCCGGCCCTGGGCAGCATGGTACCTCCCAATGACACCTGCTTTCTCGTGTTGCTCACCTTTGAAGGGGACGGGGGGCTGCTAGAGTCTCACATGGTAACTAAATGCATCTTCTCAGAAGTGACATGGCAGATGGCCTCAGCTTTCCTTAGCCTCAAGGTAGCAGAGAAGAGCAACTTTACCATGGATTAAAAGAAAACACATTCAGTGACAATGCCATGTATTCCGGCATATTATTTAATGTAGACACTGCGTGTGTGGTGCATGCCTGTGATCTCAGCACTTGGGAGGCTGAGGCAGGAGGATCACTCCAAGTTCAAGGCCAGTGTGGAATTCAGGGCCAGCCTGAATACAGAGTAAGACCCTATCTCAAAAAAGGAACAGGGAGAAGAAATATACCTACCTGCCTGTTTCTCTG